CCCCACCGGCCCTGCGCTGCGGGAGCTGCTGGGAGCTGCAGTGGGTGGGTCTCAGCACAGTGTCGCCAGGGTGGCTGCGGGGCCTGGAAGGTTTGAACAGCACTCTGCCCAGTTCAGCCCCAGGGTGGCCGGTGCACTGGTGTGACGCGGGCAGCCCTCCATCTCCTGTCCACACGGTGTGAGCTGTAGTTGTGCTGCCTCGTGAGGAGGGGCCTGCATTACTGTCGGCCAAGCTCCGGGTCGCCCCTGCCTGCTCTCTCTGCCCATCCTTGGGGTCTGAACACTTGAGAAGCAGCGGCCACGGCCACTCACAGTGACCAGTCACCCTGGCCGTGGCTCAGTGCGTGGCTGTCCCTGCACCTTTCGTCCAGCCCAGAGCCCCCTGCTCCCTCCGCAGGCCTGGTCCACGGCTCTTTAGTCATCCTACGAGAGTTTGTTTAGTACTGGTCCCGCCAGTGCCCGTCCTTCCCCGTCCCAGCCGGCCCCACAGGCCCTCCGCCCCGGAGCTCCTCGCGATTCTCTGTATGCACAAACAAGTCTCTTCCCAACTCCCACCTTCCCTTGGTCACCGGATGTGTCCAGGCCTTCACTTCCTGCTGGGCACTGTGCTGGGACTAGCGCAGAGTCCCACTTTGTGAAGAAGGCCTGGCTGCTTAGCGCTCCAGCTGGGCTTGAGGACGTCCAGAACCATCAGAATCGTGAATTCCGAGCTGCAGGAGATGCGGCCGAGGGAGAGATACTTTACCAGCCAACAAGCCAGTGAGGGCCAGGCACCAGAGCCCCTGCCTGTCATCGGTGGCTCATGGCCACAGCCAGTCTGGGCAGGAAATCCATGAGACACTTGTCTCCAATTAATTGCCAAAGATGTGGCTCAAGTGGTAGAGAGCTAGGCTTGAAGGGGGGAAAAAAAGCAAAGCAGCACTCAGGCCCTGAGTTCAAGCCCTCGGACTGCTCACACATGAGGGTAATGGCTAACTGAGGCCATATGCGAACCAAATCCCCTCCTCAGCCCAGTGTCTCTGCCTCATGCCAGTCAGTTCGACCCTGAGTCCCTGCTGGGGGCCCGGTGACCTGGGCCTTGGTGCTTCCCTGGTTTACCCTCCCTGGAGGCCTCTCTGTACCTCTGATTCTCCTTGTTTTCTCAAAGTATCTTAGTCAATTATTGTGCATCTTAACAATTAGTATAATTACGTATCACTGCATAATTAGCATAAATATACATAGAACGTGACAAGAGCAGTCACAATACATTCTGATGGAAATTCCTTGTTAAAGTTGCTTCTCAAAAAAAAAAATGGGTTGGGAAGGTGGCTCAGTGGTAGAGCGCTTGTCTTGCATGCGTGAGGCCCTGGGTTCGGTTCCTCAGCACCACATAAGCAGGGGGAAAAAAGACAGAAGTGGCGCTGTGGCTCAAGTGGTAGAGCACTAGCCTTGAGCTGAAGAGCTGAGGGACAGTGCCCAGGCCCAGAGTTCAGGCCCTCAACCGGACCCCCCCCCAAAAAAAAAGTTGCTTCTCGTTGGGTGCTGCGTAGCTCACACCTGTAATCCTAGCTGCTCAGGATGTCTGAGATCAGAGGGCGCAGTTCAAAGCCAGCCCGGGAAGGAAAGTTTGTAAAACTTATCTCTGGTTAACTACCAAAAAGCCAGAAACCGAGCTGTGGTTCAAGTGGTAGAGTGCCAGCTTTGGAAGGAAAAGCGCCCAGGCCCTGAGTTCAAGTCCCAGTGTCGGTGTTCATATGTGCTTGTGTGCGCATGTACACACACATACACACACACACAAAGAGTTAAAAATTTAAAAATGTAAAAGAGAATAGCAGAGAGTTGAGCTGCAGAGGCCTGTGAGCTGCTCGTGGAGCGGCTCTACAGCCAGCAGCAGCCCCAGAACCCTCCCGGCAAGCCTGGCATGCAGCCTCTACGCCGGCACCACACCACTAAACGCCCACACGTAGAGGAACAATCGCCACACTACACCGGGGCACAACGCCTCCGCGCCTCTGATCGTACAAGATCATATTTATCAACATGAACTTCAGGAAATGGAAGCGAGGTTGTTTTCTTCATGGAGGTTTTCGTTCTCTGTCTTTGGGCAAGTAAGGAGGGGACAGATGAGGCGCAGAGGGTGAGCAAAGCATCCGTGGTGCTCACTTGACTTTGCTGTTAAATGAACTACACAGCTTGTGAGTGGGGACAGGAGGGGAAACGGCAGGAGCCAGGGAAGCATGACACTGTCGGAAACGAAGTGTGCTCTTCACCAGACTTGCGTCACTGTAACCCCTGTGCACATCACCAACACCCAGAGTTTAAATGCCCAAAGATGAAAAGAACCAAAGCAGAAAAACGGACGTTCTCGAGTTGCTGAGTCCTATTAATGTGTAACTGTTCTGTGTGTCAGTGCTGGGCTTGAACTGCACTTTCATTCCCTTGGCTCTTCACTCCTCTCTGGCACTCTACCACGCTACTTCTGGCTTTTCTTCTAGTTAACTGGAGATAAGAGTCTCATGAACTTTCCTGCCCAGCCTGGCCTCCAGCAGCAGTCCTCAGATCTCATCCTCCTGAGTAGCTAGGATTATAGGTGTGCGCCAGGGAGGCCTGGAGATTTGTAGCTTGAAACATCTCCCCAGGAATAGGACGGCTGGCCCCGCTTTTCACGAGCAGGCAGACTAAGGAGGAAATGGAGGGCGCAGACGCCCCCCACCCATGGCGGGGCAGCTGTGACTGCCGGAGGCCATGTGGGGAGCCGGGTCTGCACCTGTGTGTGTGCCAGCTCTGCGCCCACCCAGGAGCATGCACACGGCACGGAGAGACCCCAGCTCCTAAAGCAAAACACCTTGTTTGCAACCTCGGAGTTCTTAGGCAAAACACAGAGATCCAAACACTGCACCCGCAGACATGACTGGTCCTGCTTACCAGCGTCCGCTTGTTAAGGGGAAAAGCCGAGCGTCAGCACTCTGAACCCACCCTTGGTGCCGGTGGTGCAGGGTGGCCCCTCGGCAGAGCTGGGAACGGCAGGGCGGTGTTGGGGTGGCCGGCCGAGGGCCTGCGTGCCCGGGGTCCTTGGAGTGCATCTGTGGTGTGTTTGTCCTGCTCCAGGGCCTGGGGGATCGCCAGTGGAGGTCTCGTTTCCCAGAGCAGTGCCTGTGGGCTGGGCCTGCTCCATGGCGCGCGGTGGTGCTGTGGAGGGGAATGCCTTCCTAACACCTCTTGGTCTCCTTCCCTCCCCCAGAAAATCGCCTTCATGGTGGGGCTAGGCTTGGTCACCACCGAACACCTGGAAGGTAAGGGTGAGGGGCGGGGTGGAGGGAGGGAGGATGGGGCCCAGACAGAAGTCGAAGGTTTTAGGGTGCTGCCTCCAGGTGTGAGCTCTGCCCATGGGGCGTGGCTGCCGCCCAGGACCCCCCCAGGGGTGCCCTGCCTGACTGCCCTTCCCACCTGGGGAGGAGGCAGGCTGCCGCCCTGCTGTTTTCTAACCATTTGAGCGTGCTTTTCATCTGCAAAATGGGCTAAGGGGACCTTCCTGGGGCGGGGGGGAGCCTGAGGCAGTGCCGGGCACACGAGTGTGTCCGTGCACACACACACACACACAGAGCTCATTTTGAAAATATCCTCCAGCCCTGTGATGCCCCAAATAGGAATTTTCACCCTGTCCTCCACAGAGGTGCCCCTGAGGGGCACATGTAGACTAGAGGGAAAAGCAATTCCAGCAGATGAGGGTGGGGGGGAAGCCAGGCTACACCCAAGGCAGAGCAGTCTCAGGTCTCGCCAGACAGACAGACAGCCAGGGAAAGGAAACCCACTCCCCAACATGGACAGACAGACCCCACACCAGGCCGCCTGAGCCCTGCAGACCTGACCTGGCTGAGCCCTGAGCCACAGCCTCATCATTTTGGACCCATGTGGATCTGCGGTAGCTGTGCCAAGAGGCCAGCGGCCACGCCACGCCCCACGCAGGGCCCCACGGTTACAGCGGATCCCCGCCACCTTCCGCCAACCTGATACTCAGCCTCGAGCACCAGAGTCTCCCGGGAGCTGTGCCTAGCACACCAAGCCAGCACGCAGCTGCTCCAGAGCAGCACCGGAAACGGTGGATGCCGTGACTGGCATGTTTCTTTCCAGAAATCCAGAGCAAGCGTCAGGAACGCAAGAGAAGGAGCACAGCCAATCCTGCCTACAGCGGCTTCCTGGAGACAGAGGTGGGCCAGGGCTGGCTCCCGCGGGGGGCGCAGAGGTGGGCCAGGGCGGGGGGGGCGCCCCAGGCCACGTGACCGGCCCAGGTCTGTGGGCAGCCGCGACCTTGAGCTTCACACAAGCGCCCCACCGAGGGCAGCCAGAGCCGGCGTTCAGAGCAGTCACACGCGTCTGGAACCATCTTCCTTTCTTGGCACAAACCACTCCCAGCCACCAGTGTGGAAGGTTGGCCTGGGGCCTTGGTAAAGCCAGGACCGAGGGCACCTGCTGCCGACGCACAAAAGCCGCCACCGCGGGGCCCAGGGCCACCTTCCCAGAGACGGGTTTTAGGGATTCGGTCTACATGCTCCCCCTTTCCCCACTTGACTCCCCTTCGCTCAGCAGAGGTCAGAGTTCTGGGGGGCAGGCGCAAAGGGCCGTGCTGGCCGGAGTACCACGCTGCCCTGTGGCTGGAGTCCAACCTCTTCTTCCTGCATGATGGACACCTGGGCAGAGGGAGCAGAGGGGGCCTGGGGGGCAGACTCCTGCCCACCCGCCTCCACCCCGGGTGCCCGGTCCTCACCTCCACCCTGCCCCTGGCGCCGGGCGTCCCCTGGCTGCTGCACCCGAAGAGGGAGCCACGGGCCTCGGGTGAGGGCCTGCGCTGTGTTCTGTCCCTGCAGAGGAAGCGGCTCGCCCCTGCCTATCTCAACAGCCCTCTGTTCCTCACTGCCCGAGGTAAGCCGGCTGGAACCCTGCCAGCGCTGCCCGCACTGGGGCCCGGACCACAGGAGCTGGGGGCTCTGGGAAGGGAGGGGCCTGTGGTGAGGACTCAGAGCTGAGGCTCAGAGCGGGCGCCACCACCACGGCCCCACGGCGTCCAAGGCCACGTGGCGGGGGGTGAGGTTTGCAGACCCCCGCCCCCGCCCCAGCCTCTCCACCTGCACTGCCTGCAGAAAGTTCTGGAGAACACCCAGGAGCCTCCGGCCCACGCCCTGCGCCCTCCCGCTTTGTCAGGGCTGAGAGGGCTCTGGCTGATTTGCTGGCCCTGGGCCCAGAGTCCAGACGGCATGCAGATGCGGCTGGCCCAGGAGCCGAAAGGAAAACTCCTTTTTGGGGTCTCCAGTATGTGGTTTGCCATCACATACTGGAGCTTGAGGGGCTCTGGGGAGCAGGGGCAGGCCACGTGGGGGGCCTGGCATCACATACTGGAGCTTGGGGGGCTCTGGGGAGCAGGGCAGGCCACGTGGGGGGCCTGGCATCATATCCCTCCACGGGGCAGCAGCGCTGCCCTGCCCACCGTCACGGCCCACGGTGCACTTCTCGGGTGAGCGCTGGCTCCCCCCCCCCACGCATACACACGTATGCACGCACACGCGTGCACGCGCGTGCACACGCACGCACACACACGCACCATCCCGGCCTCACTGGGCCTGGTGCTACCCTGTCATGCGGCAGGCCCCGCCCCCTCACTTCCGCTAACGTGTTCTCCGCCCTTCCTCCCTGTGCCAGCCAATGAGGACCCCTGCTGGAAGGTACGTGCCCCATCTCCACACCCACAGGAGGGGGCGGGAGAAGGGAGGGCCTGGCCTGGCCGGGGGCGTGGCTCCACCCTGGTGTCCAGAGCTTTCCCAGTCCTGGTCAGCGCAGGACTGAGCCGCCTGCTTCCCATGGGAGCCCGCTCCTGCCCAGCCTCCCCTGCAAGAGCTGGGCGTGCTGGCTCCGGCTTGGCTCCGGCTCGGCTCTGCGGCGTGAGCCCGGGCAGAGCTGGGCGGGCTGGCTCCGGCTTGGCTCTGGCTCCGGCTTGGCTCTGCGGCGTAAGCCGGGACAGAGCTGGGCGGGCTGGCTCCGGCTTGGCTCTGGCTCCGGCTTGGCTCTGCGGCGTGAGCCCGGGCAGAGCTGGGCGGGCTGGCTCCGGCTGGCTCCTGCTCGGCTCTGCGGCATGAGCCCGGGCAGAGCTGGGCGTGCTGGCTCTGGCTTGGCTCTGCGGCATGAGCCGGGGCAGAGCTGGGCGGGCTGGCTCCGGCTTGGCTCTGCGGCGTGAGCCCGGGCAGAGCTGGACATGCTGGCTCCGGCTTGGCTCCTGCTCGGCTCTGCGGCATGAGCCCGGGCAGAGTTGGGCGTGCTGGCTCCGGCTTGGCTCTGCAGCATGAGCCGGGGCAGAGCTGGGCGTGCTGGCTCCGGCTTGGCTCTGGCTCCGGCTTGGCTCTGGCTCCGGCTTGGCTCTGGCTCTGGCTTGGCTCTGGCTCCGGCTTGGCTCTGCGCATGAGCCCGGGCAGAGCTGGGCGGGCTGGCTCCGGCTTGGCTCTGCGGCGTGAGCCCGGGCAGAGCTGGGTGGGCTGGCTCTGGCTTGGCTCTGGCTCCGGCTTGGCTCTGGCTCCGGCTTGGCCCTGCGGCGTGAGCCGGGGCAGAGCTGGCCCCTCTCAGCTTCTCTCTGACCAAGAGCGTGGTAACAGCCAGGATTTCGCCCCACATGTCCCCATCCATGGTCCTGTAACCTCACCCCCGCGCCGTGCCCAGGCCTGGCCGCAGCCATGTTCTTCCCTCCATTTTTGGTCTAATTCCAACCCTCACCAGCTTAGCGCAGTCCAGGGGACTGGTCCCAGCTGTCTGAGCTGTTGCTGGCAGCACGGGTGCTGGTGGCCGGCAGCTGTTCCGGGCCCCTGGTGCCCGGCCCGGGCGCACCACTCACAGCCCTGGCGGAGGCTTGGCCTTGGGGCCGGAGCCCTCGGTGCCCAGGCGAGGCCTCCACCCCACCGTGGCATTTGCCCTGTAAGGGACGTGTGGAGCCGGGCTCAGACTGCCTCCGGGGCTTCCCCCCCGCCTCCAGTCCGGAGCCCCAGCCGGAGCATGCTTCCTTGGTGCTGGCGTGGGGCCTGGGCCTGGGAGCCAGGGCCCGAGCTTTTTCTGTCAAGGCTGGTGCTGTGCCACACAAGCCATGCACTGCTTCACAGACTTCCTTCCCAAGCTGGCTTTGAATCCCCATCCTCAGTCCTTAGCCTCTGAATAGCTTTAGATTGCAGGTGTGAGCCACAGCTAGGACCTGCAGGTGG